ATAGGGTTTTGGGGCCCATGATACTTCAACTATAACAAGGCGCCCCCCCCCTCCAAAAAAAAATATAGGTACTTATCTTGCGGCCTCTACATTATTATTATAGGGGGCGGAGGTCGCAGCCTTCGCCTTGAGCGTATTTCTCCAGTATCACCCTGAAGACCGGGTGGCTTGAGGCCCGTGTAGGGTTTACCTATAGTCTCCATTGTAGTTCCTTTTTGGGGATACCTTATAAGATCCGGAATATATACTTGGTTAAACCCCCAAAAAGGGAACTACAATGGAGACTATAGGTAGGGTTCCCCCAAAATCACCAGCCTGAAAGCTACTTGACCCCAGAGCCTCGGGGATCCGTCGTACTCACGCAAAGGCTAAAGGGAGCAGAAGCCTGTTCTCTGCCATGTGCCCAGCAGTATCACATAAATAAGCAGGGTTCTTCCGTAGCGACCCCGAGAGCCCAGCAGTATCATATAAATAAGCAGGGTTCTACCGTAGTGACCCCGAGAGCGTATTAAAGGTGTCTCCGTTGCAGAATCCTAGGTCGATTCCCTCCCAGCGGCAGCCGTAAACCCCGAAAGGACATACAGCAGACCACTAGATCCCACCAACGTTTGCTTTTAATCCCAACTGCATCATAGACCCTAAACCCTGACTGCACCGCCCCAAACTTCCTAATCCCAAACACAGAGCTTCAACCCTACGTGCGGCTTTTCAGAACGCACTTGTCCAGAGCTCCTGGTTCTGATGCCCCTAGAGCCTTCAAAGAGGTAGGTCATTTTGGGGGTCCGGGTAACCCCGGTTTAGGGTTTAGGGCCTGCAGAACTCGGCACCTTTCAATCCGTAAACCCTAAACCCTTCCTGAGGATTTCGACCTCACGGGTATTGCCAATATCGCAGAGCTCCCGGGGATTCGAGGATTGGTCTTCAATGCGCGCCTTGGCTGGTAAGGGGTTCTCGGGATTGAGGCTGGTTGTGGGGTTTTGAGGGTTCTAGGATGTGGTGCTTTGGGGGTTTTGTGTTTTTGGGTTTTGGGGGGTTAGGGTTCAGGGTTTAGGTTTTCGCAGATTTCGGTTTGGACTATTCGGGCTTCCTGGTTTTGGATATGGGCGTACCAGTCGCCGTGCATGCGGCTGCGTCGAAACAACTTCTTTGTTGCTGTAGAATATGTGCGGATACGGATGTGTCGGCCGGGCGTATCCCCCAAAGGCCACTTGGCACTGGACCTTGCACCAGACAGATACAGCCACAGCTTTTGATATATCTATCCAGAAGAGTTTGCTTTACGCTCGGGATTTCTAGTCTAGGACACCAGGTAGCACTAATCTGCAGCGTGGCCTTCTGAGATATACAGCGGAACTCAGAAAGTTGGAACATGAATCAAGGATGCTGGGTGCTGGGATTCCCCATGCTTTTCTTGAAGGGCATCCGGTTGATGATGTTCCAAACTGCTGGTTTCTACTGCAAGCAAGAATGGATGGCAAGAGTGTACTTGAGCTGCAACCCAAAACCCTAAACCCTAAACCCCTGACCCCCTAAACGCCCTAAACTCGAGCTGTCGGAGACGTTTCGACCTTGTGCCCCTTTTGATCCTCTGTGGACCTGCGTGCCATCGCCACAACCTGGGGAAAGTCTCACTGGATCGTTTTCTGTGTATACATGAAGCACGCTGTCTTCTTTCTCAGTACTGTAATAACTGTAACATTGAAGCCTCATGCTTGCTTAAGCAATACAGCGGCTTCAGTAAATCAGGGGCTTGCAGAAATCAAACGACCGGATCAACACGCCAGCTTCGAGTCATCTGATCTGGAGAAGCCTGTACAAGGAAGGAAGGATATACCCTAAACCCTGAACACCTAAACCCTAAACTCCTGGACCCTGGGGCCCCTGTAGGTAGAAAACAAAGGGCAAGCGCTGGAAATAGCCACTGTACGCGCTTACGCCGGGGGGAAGTATTGAAGCTTCAATGATACTTTTTTGAGGGTTCTTTATTGAATTCGATTGCAGTTTTAATGTACACCCTTCTTCAGATTGTTTCGGATTGTGGGATTCCACTGGACTTGCCGTAAGACCTTGAGTACTCCGCTATCTGCTACCTGCTTCTTCAGCCCCCGGGTAACATAGAAGCTGACTTAGCTAGTGATACTATTGCTATTGCTTAGGGTTTCTTGTCGTGATTACGCTGCATACTCCCCAAAACCTATTCCATTAATGATTTAGGCCCCTAGATTCACCCGGTGTGCCAAGGATTGAAAGTGCGATAGCAAGCGCTCTCGTGCTGCCGAACCGGATCGCCATTCCTTTAGGCACTGTCGGGCTCGGTAGGAAACCTTGGCTTTGTAAAGTGGTGTTAAGCTTTCTTCGAGTGGTCAATTTTAAGTTGGGGGGGGGGGGTGGTTAAGTAGGGTTTTGGGATTTTGCGTTTCGGCTTAGGGGTTTAGGGATCGGGGTTTTGTGGTGTAGTAGGTCTTATACGTGGGGGTCGTGACAAGGTTTTATGAAGGTTCCCTCAACGTCAACAAGCTAAGGGCTTTTAAGTTTTGGCTTCTGTGGTTTTGGGGGTCCCAGATCAGGAGGGTGTCGAGAAAGGGACATGGCGGCAACGAGGCATGATCAGATGTTGCGAAGGCGCTCCACGTGCAAAGTCTCCAAAAACGATGCCCGTCTCGAAGCATGCGGCCGCAGTAATATAGCACAACCCAATAACCCAATAACCCTAAACATCCCTAAACCCAATGTGCTTTCCTTGCTTCTGCTAGCTTCAACGAAATTGAACGAGAGAGAGGCTTCACCCAAATGCGATTCCCTATAAGCCATAAGCCCCTCAAGCCCTGAACACCTTGAAAACCGTGAAACCCGAAAGCCGTAAAGCCCTGAAGCTCCAGAGCCCTGAAGCCCTATAAACCCTATACCTTGAAAGCCCTGAAGCCGTGATTGAATCCTTCGAAGTACCCTTAGAACAGCTACCGTTCATTTTCAGGATCTCCTCAAGGAAACTGTGTAGCACCCTTTACAGTTACCGTTCATATCAGGATCCTCTCAAGGAAGTCAGGAGTGCCTTCATGCTAGGTGGTATTCGGCAGACCCCTTAAAGAGGACTCTTCTTAACCCGACTTCTGGCTCTCTTGACAAGGGGACCTTGTTTGAGAGGGTCTATATCCCCAAGGGTCCCCCTAATCCTAGCTCCTACCTCAACCCCTACCTACAACAGCCGAACACCACTTTAAAGTGGGGTTCAGGACAAGAACCGCGTATTTAGCATTATCTTGTTAACTTCCTAGTTATTCTACTAAAAACCCGGTTCTTCTTGAGAACCTACTTTTGATTGAATTTTAGTGGGTTATATACATAGACGGATGGGAGTCTTCGGGGTCTTGAGGCAGTTCATATCCGCCCTTGACAGTGCCGCTCTGCGCAGGCCTTGAGATGGCCCGAATGTTTTTACTTAATTAGCTATAAAGCTGTGCCGGAGTGGCACTGTCCCACTCCTGTGTCGGGCACTCAGGGAGTGCCATGCAGTGCTTGCAGGGGTCACAGGTCGTGCGCAATTATTGTGCATGAGCATACCTCGGATAGCCCATTTCAGGCTTAATTTCCAGGATCTTGTTAGCACAGCTCTAGGTGCTCGGTTGCTGATGTCGGCCGAAGTTAAGTTCGAGGCTTCTGGTTTGGGGCAAGAGTGGGACGTTGTGGATGTTCTACGTGACCGGATGCGGGGCGGGCACAATTTGCTCCTCGGGACCCTGCATGAGTTTACGGTGCAGCGAGCCTGCAAGAACATCGATGTCCTGACCCCTGTTCTGGTAAGGTGTGCTGAGGCCAACCTTAGAACTCCAGAAGTGGAGTGCCTGAGAGCGGAAATTCAGAGTTTCTATCAGATGCATCAACGCACAGAGTCGGATGACACGATAGACGACTTAGCGTGGGAAGTGCGGAAGTTGTTGTCTTTCGTGAAAAGGAAGGCTCAACGGAAGGAAGTGTCAACAGCTCCTGGACTTCAACTTAGCAGCTGTTTCGATTGAAACCTCAACTTGAATTATGCCTTAAAATGCAAAGCAAAGCCTAGCATTGATCCCAGATTGAAGACTTCCAAGAGATGTGCCTGATTCTGAATCCCAACCTCCAGGACTGCGGGACTGCATGGGGTCACTCGAACAATTGTTTTCGGCTTCGCATCCGCATTGCAGCTCACGTCGTGCATAGCAGCTGCATGAATCCGAGCAGTTTATATACTGTTGATTTTTCTGTAAACGAGATGACCTGCCGAGCTTCGATATACTAAGGCATCCTAGCTGATTGCGATTTTAATACGATCCAACCCCTGCGGCGTTGAGAGGACGTCGTCGATGGCATCCGAAGCCGGTTCCTCGAGGACCTCAAGCTTGGCAGGGAAAGTTTCTCTATTAAGCATTTGGGTTTGTGGGGTGAGCCTGAGGAATGTATTCAGTGTTGCTAGTACGTGTGAAAATATACATATCGACATGGATAATCTATGATTTATATAAGTCTGTTAAACCCATATATCCCGGTCTACGATTGCAAAACTTGTGTAAACTAGATAGAATTAAGTTATATCAATCATGCAACAAAGTAGCCTATATAAGTGCATCGATTAAATCATATGTACGTATAAATTGACAATGGGTTGTGAGGACGGGGCTGCCGATCCTGCTCCCGTGGAAGACAGCCCGGCTCCTTCTACGACCCCTGCACCTACGACTTCGAGCGCAACCGCGAGCCCGAACCCCGCTGAGAACCCGAACCCAGTGCTACCAAGTGCGCCTGCAGTGCACGAAGCCCCGGCTACATCAACAGCTGTGCCAACCGAAGCAACATCACCATCTGCAAGCCCCCTTGTAAGTGTGCCTTCGGGTATGCCAACAGCAGTGCCAACCGGAGCAACAGTGCCCGCAAGCCCCGTCACAAGTGTGTCTTCGGGTACACCAGCAGCAGTGCCAACCGGAGCAACATCACCATCTGCAAGCCCTCTTGTTCCTATGCATCCTTCCCCGAGCATAGCACCAGAACCAGCAGTTCCTATTACAACGCCGCCCCCCCGACCCGACAGGATTGCCCGAGTCTTGGTTGGGTTTTGAGATGATTAAGTTAATTATCTCTATGTTCGTATATCACTTACATGTCTATACATGTCGATCTATATACACAATTCGTGCATATACTGGTTTATATTTATGTAGTATATATATACACACATACATCTGTGTTATAATGATATACATGCACACATATAAAGATCGCTAAATATCACATATATATATATGACATCTATATACATATATGGCATGTATATAGCTTAATCATCTAGTCTCAACTATTTGTTGTCGTATTAAGACTACCGACGTCAGTAAACATATGGTCACTTCGAGGATTGGACGAGCTGACGCCTGAGCGGAAGTGCCGCAAGCTGGAAATGCAGAAGAAACTTTTGCTTGCTCAGTTGCAACTTCAAAGGCTGCTAGGCCGAAAGATTGATTCCGAACATATCAAGGTTTGCTGGCTCTTGCACAACAATCCACACACATGTGCTACCGCTGTGGGGCATTTGGTCCTACTTGAATGGAAGCCGTCAGTTTGACATAGAGCTATCTGCCATTCTGTAAATTAAGCTCCTGGTCAGCCTAGGGTTCGTGCGGAGAAGAAGATGGCCAGCGTCGCTCGTGACAAGGAGACCTTCGTCGAGCACAAGTGCGAGCCGGAGAGGATCAGTGCTTCGGCGCTTATGAGAACGACCACGCGATGCAGACTTTGAATTGAGTTTGGTTTCAACGGTTTTATATCCGTTCGTTTCGATATCTTGTATAGGATACTGGCTAGAGCGAACTTTAGTGTCGATCAACTCTAGTCTGAGGCTTCGGGGGGGATTCGGACGATACCTTGCCGACCAACATCCTCGATTGCCCTACCCCTGTCCATTCTGGGTCTTCCGAAA